TTCGATGGGCTATGTTCCTATTTGCGAAACCCTCTCGAAACATGCATTGCAAGAGTTCCCAGCGCGCATGCTCGCCACCTCAGTGCGGGGTATTTAAATTCCGGAGGTATATCATATGACGCCACGGTAAAACTTCAAACTGCAAGGTCTTCACAAAGTGAGTATGGTTCGAATGGCGCTACACACTCATAAACAGCGCACAAAAAAACTAATCCAAAGTTGAAGTGAAGATAGAATTAACTCTTCACTAAGCTGGTTTAACCATAGGCGTGAAAACGGGAAAGGTTTGACCCAGTCAGAATATATAATTATGTCCCGGCCAAGAACTCAGACATTTTAGGTTAATCTGTCATAGCTTAGACCTATAAATAAATTATGTAAAACAGAGAATAAGATTTTTTAAAATAGCTGAGGTATGAACGATACTGCATGTGTACTAGCCGTTAAAAAACGCTAAAAGAAGCCGTTAAACAGCAAAAGCAGACGTGTCTTTAATGTGAACGCAAGGCCGAATCATCGCAACACAGATATGTGCTGCCATCAACACTTAATCAGGATCCTAAGAGGAAAATATATGTTGACATACCTTATCAGATCTTGCTTCAAGAGCATTTCAGTATTTTCATTTTCAATATCACTTACCTGGTTAGGTCTCGCACGAATATCATATACGATAGGATACTGGAACCAGGGCACTCTGAAGTGTAGTCCCTCTTTGTACACATCATTTGAGAGCCCACCAATTCGATTGAACATGATGGCACGGTGACCAGCATCAACTAAAAAAACATTTAGCAACTAAAGGATATTTTGTTAAGGATTCGATATTTCTCGACATTATTTCGAAGTCGGCGCGCCATAATTCTAGAATTTTGCCAAAAAAGGACAATTTTCTTATGATGAGAGCCAGATCCGTTCCCTTTGGGCCATACTGTAAGTTAATATGGGGGGTTCAAGATAAGATTTGCATTATAAGCGGTCTAGCGGAGCTGATGTGCTGAACCGAAAAGCATATTTACTTTGTACAATAACTCCTTAGAAGAGGGACGTATGACAGTAGATTCGTCACAACATCGCCTGAAACTT